TGTGTGTGTGTGTGTGTGTGTATGTGTGTGTGTGTGTTAAAACGAATGAAATAGAAAATATTTGAGCAACAAAGTTGTTGCTTCTTTCCGTGTACGACGTCAGATTGAAAAGCTGCAAAAAAAAACAAAAAAGTTTATTCCAAATTCAATAATTTAATACTTTACCGTTTCGTCTGAAATATCTAATTTAATGTAATGATATATTTGCGCATTTTCATTTGAAAATTAATAATAATAATAAGTATAAAATCAAGAAATGATATCGAAATTGCAATTAAAATGGTAATTGATGAAAGTTTAGCAATTTCAAACAGTCCTAAAATGTGTGCTTCATATGTTAGGACTATTTCTTTTTTTGTTTTTTCTTTGAAACTTCACAAACACATAGCTTGTCAAATTTTAGCAAATTTACAAGAAATAAAATTATTCGCTACTTTTTCTATGCATTTTATTGATTGTGATGAAGAGAGTGATAAAGGATTAAGGAAACATTTTGATAATAAATTTTAGAAAAAGAAAAAACTTCAAAGTTATATTTAAATATTTGAGTTGCAGTCAGTTATGATGAGTTCAATTTAGAGATTTAAAATAATCCAGTCCTGAACGATGCCTATCGAACGATCTTCATCGAGGATCGAAAAGAGCCGATAGATGGTGGATTGGACGTGATTACAACATCACTAATCACTCTTCCATCTTCTTAGTCATCCAAATTCCATTGATTGCTTGCTGTTGTTAGGCAAAAACAATATAGAATTTGAAGTTGTTGAAATGTTTTTTTTTCCTCCAGTTTAAATGATTAAATTTCATTTTTCAAATAAATTTAGAACAAAAATTTCCCAATCAATTCATAGTAATTTTACATAATCAGATGAAAGAGCTAATGAAATTTAATTTAATACTTGTCAATTAAGTGACCCTACAATACCATTAAATTTATGTATCGATGAAAATGTATTCCATGACAAGGTCATTTAATTTTTACTATAATAATACATCTTTAAGTATGGAAGTTAAACTTAATCATAGTATATCACCCTTACAGATAATCATATATATATGTTGTTCTGATAAACACTGAGAATAGGCTTGTAAAGGAGATAGGTCAAAGGTAATATGAAAAAATAATAAACAGACATTTGCGATTAATGTGAGCATTGCTGAAAAGTTGTTAGTAAAAATGAAGAACTTACCGAAGCAGGAGTACGGTCAACAAAGGCACATAGGATGGTATGGAAAAGGTAGAGAGGAGAAGAAAGAGATGATAAAAAGTAGGGGGAGGGAGAGATAATGAAGTTTAGGTTGGTCGATAACCGAGTAAAAGAGGAGAAGGGAAGGATAAGGAAGAGGATAAGAAAGAGATGGAAGAGGA